CATCCAAGCGCTGTAGTAAAAAGGCAAGTGATATCTCTGAAATTAATAAAAAGTGAAGTGTCTGATCTTCTATGCATTTGTTGCCATAAGGGTTTTAAACCAAACACTTCCATCTTCAAGTGTAGTTGCAGAGTAGAAAAGTTACAATGGTAGGGAGAAATATTCTGTTTCAAATGCAAGTATAATATCAAACCCAAGTTTTCCCAAATTGAAAAACATGAATCCTCAGAAGCTGTACTAGACAATCCATTTGCAAAACCTCTATGAACCGCGTGGAATTATGCAGTTGTTACAACAGGTTACTTCAAATAAATTAAATGTAACAGGAAATAACTGCTGTGCATGTGTAAGTGCACTCTGAGCACTAAACTTGTACTGCAGCAGAAGATGCCTATATATCCTGACCTCTGAGATGTCACATTCCTCAAAGGGTGCTAAGATGTTGGTAAGAGCTCATCATTTTTACTATCAGAAACATAAAAAGAAACCAAACCTCCCATGCCACTTTTTTCATTCCTTCTACAGGTTTAGACATTTTATTTTTTATGATGAAAACAACAATCCAATCATCTGTAAGCTTCTGCACATCATCATTTGCTATCTCAAAGGATTTTACATAGAACTAATCCACATTATATATGAAAAATAAGAAAGCTATATGAGATCTTATTAATACATCTCTGATCCATCAATGGATAGCAAGTAAACTTAAACCTATTAAATCTATTTTAAAAAATCAAAAAATTCCATACTGGCCTTGGTTTAGCACTGGATCCAGCTCAAGCATATAAGATAAAAGCTTTTGTCCACATAATAGTATTTTCTGTTTGCTTTTGCTGTTAACAGACTACAGCATAAAAGTTCCTTATGACCGCAGTTCTCAACACCTGATGAAGTGTATTCCTTATCCTATAAACTTCAAAGTAAATGATTTCACTATGAACCCCTGAGAAGTGGAAGAAAATTAAGATAACGGGAACGAACCTGCCTCCTGTGTAAGCAACAAGTTGCACATCCAGTTAAAACCTTTTGCCTGGGGCTTCCTTTCTTTTTATAGGTAAAAAGAACACAGCAATGTCAAAATAAGGGTTTTTTCTTGGTATGTTATATACTTGGACATAAACCTTAACTAACATGTAACGCTGGATCCTGCACGATAAAGGATAAAATTTCACTGACAAGATTCTTGGTGTTTGTGGAATCATAAGCAATTGGGGAGAAACTGCAATGAATCTGTTTCACAACATCATCCACAGACAACATAAGAGCATTCAGCCTTGAAACACATTAATAATTTAAGAAGCAAAACAGAGTTTTACTCTTTAAACTACTGCAGCCAACTGCAAAACCTACAGATTTCTGTTGCTTATTCTTCTTAAACATCTGAAGCAGCATTTCTGAATAAGAACTCATCTAAGCCAAACTCTGAATCTAGCCAATATTTCATATTGTACAAGAAAGAAGAGCTTTCTGTCTGGAAGGCTGAACTGGATGAGATATGCTTTGAAGCCCTGCATAAAAGCTGAGCTCCTACAGACTGACTCCTCGTTAAGCCTCTTAACTCCTCAGTTTATCCACCTGCCTGCTTCAGAGCTTTTTACAGAAGTGTTCTTCAACCAGGGTGTCAATCACCAACTTATCAATTTCAGAGGGGTTATAACCATCTGCCTAGCTAGGAAGGTTACAAATCACATTTCTCTGCTCACTGGGCTTAATGCTAACTTGTACCAGCATCTTCAAGTAGTACCAAGAAAATATAGAAGCAGCTCTACGATGCCATTAAGACTATTAGGTGGCCTGGTTCATTTCAGCTGACCTACAGAAATAAAACAACAGGAAGATTAAAAACAAAATGGAGAGAGAACTCTAACCCTCTAATAGGGAACTGCTGTAAGTATAACAAATCAGAAAGGTTTCAAACAAAAGATATCTAAAGAAGAGCAGGAAAAAAAAAAGTGATCCAGGTAAGGTGGCAGAGAAAAAGCAACCAAAACAAACAACAAAGAAATAGTACATAAATACTATAATTGCTCGTGGGAAACAGGAACGATTCCAAGCAAAGATCTTATCATGGGAGGTTACATTTAACATATAACTTTCATCCTTCTTAAAGCTAGCATGCTTAATCCACAGAAACAGGGCTTGTAATAAGCCTAGTTCATTATAAACACGATAAAAGCTTTACCTACTTAGTGGTAGACTAGAGGAATGTTGAGAAGCTTGTCCAAGTTCTCACAGTGGTTCACAGAAGAACCACCTGCTGGAGACCACCACTGTGCTTATAATAAACCTAAAGGATTTATGCCAAGGTGAATTCTTAACTTCCATCATGAAATACTTAAACCAGTCATTTTCATTAGAAAAGAAACAGGCTGGTGAGCACAGCGAAGTGAAAAGAAAATACCATCATTCAAGTAATTCTCCAGCCTGAAAGACCAACTAGTCATTGGATTATTTCATCACCTGGGACTGCTTTGGCAGAAGTCCCTCACAGGACTTTTACTCTTGTTACGAGCTATCCTAATGCTGGGATATTTCAGACAACAAATGAAAACTTTTAGGAAAATCAGGATATAATGTAATTAAAAAAATCTACATGAGCAGGAATAAATGAGGGCAGAATTAAAAATCTCAAGAAGAGGACAGAAATTAGTTAAAAGTCAAAAATAGGCTAGCAAAATTTTTACTACTTTTAGCTCACAGGTCTTCTCTCTGGGCGCACTTATTCAGATATGCTGACTTTGCAGACAAAAATCAATTTTACTGCTTTTAATTTCTATGCGCACTACAGTGCCTAAAGAGCGATGAAAACTCAACTGGTTTAATTTTTGGCTAATGCACCATGGACAAAATCACTAAGAGAATTCTGCCCATAAGAGCCATTCCAGAAATCACACACTGGTATGTTATAAATGTTTTTTGACTACACATTTAGTAGTTCTCAAGTACATTACTGTTAGCCAGTGACTCAAGGCCAAGCAGAAGAGGCGCAATTAGATTTCAAAACATCTCCAAAATGCCCTTGCAAGGCATATGGCTAAAAGGGGAAAACAGCATTCAACTTACAAGCACAAAGTTTGAAACTTTAGTACCTGGAAAGAAGAATGCCATTCTTAACAAGTCACTTTTAAAATTTGGATAAATTACAGGTACGTATTTACACATGCATTACTGACTGAGTACACTGCAAAACAAAACACAGGAAAGTCAGGTTACAGAAAGTTTTTTTTACTTTAAAAACCAAATTGTTAGATTTTCACAGAAATCTCACACCTGGTACAAAACCAAGAAAAATAAATGTGAAACCAACTTCTACAAAGTTGGAGCACAGATGACACTTTTTTATTATGTATTGCTTGTAAAGAACAGGTGCTAAAAAAAAACATTAAGAAATATAAGAGTTAATGAAGAGACTAATTGAATTATTAATTAAAGCAATTTTAGCAAAGAATTGCTGCATTACAAACACAACTCTATTGTATCCCTGAACATATTGTTCCCATAATGAGTTTTACGGTATATAACTTCTCAGAAACTTTGTACAGAGATCAGGAAGTTCATGAACAAATCACCCCGAGAACATATGGATCAGAGCAACTCATTGTCAACATAACTCTGTGACATATGTCACTTCCTGTGACTTCTGCACAGACAGCAACTGAACTCATAACCACAGAGAGATTTAAATCTGACACCTTTATTGTCTATTAAATTTAGATAAATCCTTCTAAGGGAAAAAATAGGTCATGCAGTCCTCTGGCTTGTTTCTACATTCCCATTACAGCCTTGATTTAGCTGTCCATACTCAGATGTGCTTGCCCACCTTGAGAGGCCCTTGAGGAGGCCAAGATATCATTAAAGGATGACAGATGAGGCACAGGACCTATGGAAGGTCTGCATCATGACTAGAAATCAGGTTAAATGAGGCCATCTCAAATGGCACTAGATACCTATGTGTGGCAATCTAAGTCAAGCTTTCACATCTGATTCAGCTTCACTGCTGGATGGTCAGCACTACACAGGCATCACCTTTAGGTGACTAAATGAGGCAAGTGCCAAGCACCCACTGTCGTTAGTGGACTTTAAAGAGAGCTACTGAATTCATTCCACAGCCAATACCTAGAGCACGTCACCTGAGCAGCTCACCTGATTCCTCTGACTCTACAGACAAAACTCCCACTGATGGTCAAGCACGGACATCCTTCAACCCTAAAGGTGGGATGATTATCAACATTGGAACCACAGCTTGACCCATGTAATTTAAGGAAAATAAGCTCACCAAAACATTGCTGGGGGAACAATTGCTGAGTCAAATAAATGACTGATTTAGATAAGACAGCCACAGCTACCTATATCCTCTAAAGCACATAGGAACATGTTCAATCTTTCTTAGTGATGGCTGCAGTTAACTTATACAGCCATATGTTCACATTGCCATTAGCTTTATTTCCTTCTCCTGTTGACTTCCTGCATTGTTCATTTTCTTCTTCTTTCCTAGTGAGTTATAAACCTTAAAGAAAACATCATCCCTTAATGACTTTCTTCAACAATGCTTAGTACAATCTTAATGAAACCCTAAATGGTAAAAAAGTAAGAATAATGCTGTCTGGTATTTATTTAAAACAAAATTCAGCACACCCAGATATAACTCTACAATACCACAGGAACTTAAAAACCATCAGTTTGGATCCAGCACTTGAGACAACCCAAGCCCATCAGAGCAGCACTATCAGTCAAGTTAAGGCTCTTCTTAGTCTACTATTTTAAGCAATGGATCCCAAGTTTAAAAAAATTGTGCAGGAGAAGAAATGAATAACAAAGGAGGTAAACACCTTCAAAACTGCATGATCAGAAAAAGATTTCCAAACATTTGTTCGCATTTAGGTACATGCAGAAAAAAAATGGCACATCTGCCATTTGTAAAGCTTGCTAAGTTGTGAAAAAACATCAAAGACAAGTGAAACACCAGACCAAAAATGCCAACCTACTACCAAAGAAATTCAAAGAATAAAATTACCTTGCTCCAGTCGAAAGCATAGGGAACGTTTTGCAGCCTCTATCTCAGGAGTTGGATGATCCAGAACATGCCTGCACCACTGCAGAGGACTCAGTGATTTCTCTTGAGAAGTGTGAGTCTTAGTAGGCAAGACGTATAACCTTAATCAAAATACACAAAAATATCAGCAAGATATGCAACACTTAAGTTTTTTTAAGTTCTTCTCTGTTAGCTATAATCATTTATAGTGTACAAAGTCTTGCAAGCCGATATCTAATTAAGAAAGACTTTGTGAGGTAGAAGAGTTACATTAGTTTTCTTTATTCCCTCCTCAGAAAAGTAGGTGGCAAAATATAAACTCTACAGATCTGGCATGACAAAACAATGAACTAGATTTCACATTAAAACCTTCCATCTCATCACTACCACTGTCTTCATTCTAGCACCGCCTAAAGTTCAAATGCATTAGGTGCTATACACATACAAAAGGTGCTCTCACTTGTCCCTTTTATACTTATCTTTATTGGAGATTAGACAATTTCAATATTTTATTTTATATTTAAATCACAATTTCACTGTTAACTATTTCACACCTTTACCTATCACAATATAATCGCCTTATTATATATAGTGCTGATTATAATTTTCATACACTGTATATTCTCCCAAATGAATCAAATGTTGTACAAGTCCTATTTGTAAAGACTAAAGAACATTTTCTGAGAAACAGTGCAAACCCATTTTTGATATTCAACTCCAGCAGAAAAAAAAATATATGCAAAAAAATCTAGTGTATGTGCCTTATTCTCAGACAAGAGCAGACCATTAATCAGATGACTAGGCACATTAGGAAGCCAGGTATCAAAGCAGATTTCATGGGGGAATTCTTGAGGCTGAGATCTGGGTTGCTGCTCTCAATCCGGGCAGATTAGCAAGAACAGCAGACTTGATTCACCTGGGAAAGCATAGATCTCCTGGGAAGCAAACTATTCTTGGCTGCTTGAGATAAGAGAATGGCTTGGATATGAAGGGACCTTAAAAATCATCTAGATCCAACTCCCGTGCCATGGGCAGGGACACCCTCCACTAGACCAGACTGCTCAGAGCCCCATCCAATCTGGCCTTGAACAGTTCCAGAGGTGAGGCATCCACAACTTCATTGGGCAACCTGTTCCACTGCCTCACAATGAATTTCTTCCTAACATCTAATCCTGCAGCTTCCTGGCCTAACCACCTCCAATACATGGCGCTACAGTCAGACACATTCTCAGACACCAGAACACTCTGTAGACTGCAAAGGAATCTGGCCTGCACACAGCGGGGGCAAATAAGACCAAGACATAAACAGGATTTTTTTCCTCTTGGGATACTAGCAGGTAGCAGTAGCCTTTCATCTTTGTGGTTTTGGCCCAAGAGCTACCGAAGTCCCACCAGAACAAGCACTCTTCAGTGTCTGCTCCATGGGGTTTTTTTGCTTTTGAAGTCAATCAGCACTGTCTATCAAGCTTACAAAGAATAAATATCCTCACTGTGACTGCTCTCTCTCGGCAATCCCAGCAGAGATCAACCATTGAATTTCTCTGAAGAGAGGACTCATTTCCCCAGACTTCCTGCAGTGCCTGACCATATATTTAAAAAATGATACTGAGAAAACCAAAAAGCTTTCAGCTTTCTTGTAAACCTGCAGAAGTGCTTCAAAAGCTAAACATATAACTTATGATCAGACCTTCCTGTAAAAACCTCAACGTCAAAAAGTGGTTTGACATCTCTGCAGCTCCACAGGGTTACTTGTTTTATGTTTTGGGTTCCTTTTTCTAACTGCAGATAAAACGAAACAAAACACACATAGACACACAAGAAAACCTAAACTTGTCAATTTATTTAAGGCCTAAAATTACTAATTAAATTACCAATCAAAACTACGATATGCACTGGGCTTTGGCTTTCCAGATAGCCATTTGCTGATAAACAACTAGAACAATTCACTCTTAGTGGAATACACTTGTTAACAAATCCCTGTGATGAAATTCTGCCTGTGGACATACATGTGTGTGACAGAGGTAAGTTCTGGTGCCCAAAAAGCATTTAGGATTGCTCCCAGGGAGCAAATCAAATAGGAAATTTTACTAAGGCACAATGCAAAAATGACTTTCTACCGTTCTCAAATGTAAACAGGGAAAAAATTTTGTTTAACAGGACACGATCAATCAAATTTGCTACTCCTTAATGCTAAGAAACCTAGGAGTTAGAATCAATGGAAAATTTAAGTCTGGACTGACAAACCCAAACCAGCCATACCTACAATGAAGCAACACTGACAAAAATCCCCATCCCATTTGTAGGTGATTTTCAAAAGCAATTTTCAGAAACGTGGTATTGTGTACAATAAAGCACACACAACCACGACTTAGAAACATTTATGGCATTCAGAGTAATTTCTAAACCCTTTCTCTTCTACCAAAAATAAGAATGTTTAAACACAGCTGCTTTATACTGAGCTGCCATAAACTTTGCCTGGATTCAGAAACTAGTCTCATTTAAAAAAAAAAAATCATTGAAGCTTTGACAGATACTGATATTTTTATATAGATAACTTACATATTCTTATTGACACTTCAAAACAATTGAGGATCACTTACATTTAACATAGTTACGTGGCCAAGACAGTATTTCAGCACTGCCCCTACAATGTTCCTCCACGTTGCTTACAGGCTTTGAGGCACAGGCCTTATTTATATCTCTAGCTTGTAATTTCCCCGTCTATTTTTTTTTTTAAGTGAGCGTAACCACTCCTCCAGGTTGATTTTATTTTTTGCTTTATTCATCCGCTAGTCGTTTCTGATTAATTTAATTTACTAATACCCTGCCGTGCCTTTTGGAGCTACGTGGGCGCGTTAAGATACACAACAATTTAGATCAATGCCTAAAAGACAAAAGCCCTCCCAAATCCCTGAAGATGGGAGACAACTGGGCAGAGATTTTAGGATGAGGAGGCAGCGCTGCTCAGATCAAGGCTTTCCCGAAACGAAATCCGGCTATTTTTAATTCCTTATGTAAACAGCAGGCTGAAACTAGGCTGAGATCTGAACCATCTACCCCAGAACGGAAAACGAGCAGTTCCCCCGAGCCGGGGGGTGAAGCCCCGACCTGAGCCGTGTCCCGTACCCGCGCCCCTTCCCTGGGCAGGGCCGACCGCACCGATAGCAAGGTTTAGAAGGGAGGAGGGTGGAGGGGTGGAAGCTGATTTCAGCCTAAGAAGGGAGATAAAGTGGATTTGGGGGCTAATGCTAAGCAGAGCCGGGAGACCGCCGCGGGAGGCCAGGCCGGGGAGCGACCGACACGCGGGGCCGGGGGGCACAGCCGGGCCGAAGCGGGGCAAGGCAGGGCAGGGCCGAGCCGCATGTACCAGGTGTCTTCGTCCTCTCCGCAGCCGTCCTCCAACTCCAGCACCGCCACCTCGTCCAGCACCGTGGCCGCCGCCCCCGGACCGCCGCCGCCTTCCTGCGCGCTGCCGGCGGCGGCGAGGCCGGGCGAAGGCTTGAAGTAGGCGAGGGGCTCCGGCGGGCACAGCAGGGTGGGCACCGGGCTAGGCATGCACGGCGCGGCCGGGGCGGAGGGGCTGGCGGGGCGCAGCCCGCCGGGGGCCGGCGGCGGGGCCAGCAGCAGGTGCGGGCTGGGCGGGCCGCTGGCCACGGCGGCGGCGGCGGCGCGGCTCCGGAGCTGCTCGTTCTGCTTCTCCAGCTTCCGCACCAGCTCCTGCAGCTTCTTCACCTCCAGCTCGGCGCTCACGCCCGGGCCGGCGCCGCTCCCTTTCACCTCCGCCATCATCGCCGGCTTCAATAAGGCAGCCTCCATCCTGCCGGCCCGCTGCCGCCGCCGGCACCTGCTCCGCCGCGCCGCCGGAGGGCAGCGCCCGGCCCCCGGGGGAGGCGGGAGCGCCGGGGAGCGCCGCTCGCAGCGCTGGGGGCCCGAACCGGCCCTGCAGTGCTGCGCTGCCCGCCCACCCCCGCTCCGCCGCCGCCGCTCCTGCGCCTCCCGTTAACGGCGGCGAGGGCGCGGGCGGGATCCCCTCCCACTCGGGCAGCCCGAGCGCCGCGCACACGCACTCGGCAGGAACAAAGAGCCGCCCGGCACCCCCGCCATCCAGCCGTGGGAAGGGCGGCAGGAGCCACCCCCGCGGGGAGCCCCGGGTCTCTAAACAAAAAGTACCTTCTCCCCCCCCAGCGCTCCGCAGCGCACCCCGCCCCGCCCGCGGGCGGGAGCCAGCCCCAAGCGCCGCGCCTCTCGTGAGCCGTGTAATTAGAGCCTGGTGGTGTCAGGGTGGTAATTACCCAGATTGAGAGTGTGAGGGGAATGGGAATCACAAGTAGAGGCTTTGTTGGGCTTGAAAGGAGCTAATTCAGCCAAAACCCCTGGGCTTGAAACGTGCTGATTCTGGGAGTTTTGGTTCATAGGGAGGAAAGCGACGTATTTTTGAAGTTGCATTGCTGGTGAAGCAAGAAGACGGAACCAAGCACTGCAGAAAACTGCATTAACTATGAAATTGTTTATGTATAGGAGAACACCTAAGGGGAAAGATGTCCTTGTGCTGAAATGTTTTCCTTTAACACAGTCTAGATACCTAGGTGGACTTGTAACCTGCAAATCTTTGCAAAAGAGATGAATACCATTCACTCACGGTAGTGTTTTTACATTGTCCTTCATTGTCCAGTATTGTAAGAAACTATTGTTTGTGTCCCTTCCTTCCACCTAGGAGGTGAGCCGAGATTCAGTGTTGCCCAAGACTGCTCAGCCATCATACAACCCTCACTGCGTTCATTTCCTCTAGCCATGTCAAGAGGGAACAACCTCCTAAATCACCATCCTGAAGTTTCCTAAAGCACTGATACAAAATTGGGAACAGATCGCCAGGAAACCAGGGGAGGTTTAGATTAGATATTATGAAATATTTCTTCACCAAAAGGGTTGTCAAGCACTGGAAGAGACTGCCCAGGGAAGTGACTGAGTCACCATCCTGAAAGTATTTGAAGGATGTATAGATGTGGCACTTAGGGACATGGTTTAGTGGGGACCTTGCAGTGCTGGGTTAACAGACTCAATGATCTTAGAGGTCTTTTCTAAATGATTTTGTGATTCTAAGTATGTAAGTTGCTTGCTTCCCATTAATAACAGCTATTACTCAATCACTACCCAATTCTTGAGTATCAGCTTTAGGCAGAGTAGCCTTATCAGCCACTGTTGCCACTGTTACCTTCAGCTTTGTTGCTGGCTCAGGTTTCTTATGCAAATAGAAACAGACACTATTTTTCTGTTCAGGTCATAAGTCAACTTTGAAATCATCCAGCCTGTCACAGTTCTCTCTCTTTTGTTTATAATCTGGAAACTTTCTTCTGCATATGCACGTGGCGAGAGCACTGTTGTTTGTCAGTATTTCCAGCACTCTTGCAGTGCAAATAATACCACCCAGTCTTATAAGAAGGACTGGAAAGGCAGATAGAGCAGAGCGCAAAGCATTGACTTCCAGATGATGTAACTTTCATAAGTACAACCCCCAGTGTACTACTTTGCAACCAGATAGCACTTAATCCAAACTTTTGTTGTATCTCCTCTGTCCCCTTGGAAGAAGAAGTGGAAAAATGTTGTGTGTAAAACCATCTGGCCCCAATTCTGCCATGTGTCATTAGAGTGAGTAATGTAATCCAGTTTTCACTGCTACAGGTAGCTGTAATATTTATTCCCAGAGGTAAAAGAATTGAGTTTCTACATGTTTAGCTCTAGGCAAAATGGACTAAGATTGTTATCACTAATAATGGTACTAGCCTTCATTCTTAGAAGTGAATTGTTAATCATGTAAGATTGCGAAGTGATATAAAAAGATGAATTAGCAGCATATGTAATATGAAGTTTATGGAGATCAGTAATATACAATGAAAAAAAAAGCCAAGAACAAGTTTATAACAAGGGTAGAGCTGGATGATGCAATGAGGTGAGGAGATTCAGTTAGATATTATAAAATAAATTTTCACTGAAAGAGTGGTTAATCATTGCAGTAAGTTGCCCAGGAAGGTGGAGTCACCATCTCTGGTAGTGTTCAAGAGATGTCTTGAAGATGTGGCACTTGGATTTGTTGTTTAGGGGTGATTATGGTGGTACTGGGCTAATGATTGGACTAGATGATCTTGAAGATGAACTTTGATGATTCTGTGAAATACTCAAAAGAGTATTTCAGAATGGAGGAATCACTTTTTTTCTTTGAACCAAGCAAGTCATTTAGTGGACCAACAAAAAAAAAACCCCAGGAAATGGATATCTGATGTTTTCAGTTGTCAGAACAGGAATATGACAATGTGGCCTGGATATTGCATAATTTAAAAAATTTTGATGCAGGCATCAGTTTGGAGATGCACCAGGAGACACATTTGAAGACACACTGGAGTATGTATCATTGTGACATAGAATCTGAAGAGTCACCATGAGAATGCTTGTCCTCAGTTGTGAGTACAAGTAGTTGCAAATTTTCAAATGCCATCTACAGTTTGTGCTGCCTGTGCAAATGTTCCATGCAGACACTTGTTTCAGAACTGAGTTCCCAAAGAGAGAAAGCTTAGGACTGAGCATAGTGCCTCAGCATGGGTACAAAAGCTTTTCCAGGCAGGTCAGATGAATTGATCATAGGCAGGACCAGTGTTATTACATCTGGTCCCAACAAAAATGGGCCAGGAGATTGACTCTTCCTTTACTGGACTGCTTTAAGCCTGATTTCTGTCCAGCAGTATGAGTAGAAAGCAGCTTAAACTTATGCGTGCTTCAACTGCCATGCTCACAGCCAGTGTGAGAAACCCCCTTTTTTCTAGGCATTACCTGGACAGGTGGGTCTAGTAAAAGATAGAAATGCATTTAACCATGTTGTATTTGTTGCTCTATTTTAAGTGTACTAACATATAATTCCACTAATACTGTAGATTCAAATAGAGGTCCTGGCAGGTGAAATATATGTTGATAAACACACTGCCTCAAGGTGTTCATGCTGGTCTGCCTGTCTTCTGCAAAGATGATTTGAACACCTTCATCATTAAAATATTTAAGCTAAGTTTGGGGGTTTTCAGGCACAAATTATTCTCCTCCCAACATTGACATAATTGACATTCTCCTCCCAATATTGACAATAAATTGTCAATGAGCTCCATTCAGTATCCCAGCAGTAGCTGATGAGTTTGATCAACCCAGAACTTTATCAGCACTTTACAAAGCAAGTCAAAGACTTGATGGTTCCATTCTTTTTTTAAGGCTTTGATAAAATGTGTCTAACACCAAACCCAAACGTGATAACGTGCCTATGAAACCTGTTATTCCTGGACTGGGGAAATTATATGCCTTAAATCTACTACAGGATGCTACTTACACAGTGTCCAATAGTAAGAATTTCTGAATCAGTATAGTTACTAATAGGCTGCCAATGCAGAGAACAAAGAACCAGGAAGTCCACAAATCCCATCTGCTCTTTTCTGATAATAAGCCTGTTGCTTTATACTGCAATAGCTGCAGGCTGGACCTGCCTTTCAGGCAAGCCAGAAAAGAATTAATTGCAGTAATCCAGTCTGGGTTATACAAAGGATGTGTAACAATAAGGTCAGAGCATGGACAGTAAACTCCAAGTCTGGTAAGATTATTTTAGAGTGCAGTTTCAGTCTGAAAAATGACTGTGAAAGTAGTTTATAAAAATAGAGCAACTACCATGCCAGCAGAAGTCATCGAATCGAGTATTCTGCTTCTAGCTAAGGCTGATAGTAGCTTTGTAAATAACATCTCAGAAACAAGAAAAATATTGAGGTATTTTCTCCATCTTTCAGAAATCATCAAATCAGGACATCTGGATCATTTGTTTTCGAAAGCCATCGATGTATAATAATATTCCATTTGCTGAGCCCCATTTTTAAACCATTTAAACATTAGGGCTCTACAACACCCTGTGGCAATTAAAGCTGCAATTTAATAATGTATTGTTATAAAAACTGCTTCTTATTATCTACTTTAAATCTGCTGCCTAGTAATTTAATTGGGTGCCCCTTATTCTGGCTTTCTGAGAAAGACAGAATGATTAATCATTCTCTATTCAGCTTTTCTTTGTCATTCATGACTATATAAAACTCAGTTACTTCTCTTCCCAGCTGACAAGCCCTAATTTATATAGCCTTGCTCCCACAGAAGTCAGGCTGAACCTCCCATTGTTTCCTGTCTCCGCAATGAAAACTGAATTTTCTGACCCATTGTTTTCTTTCTATTCTTATTCCATGTTTTCTTATGTCATGATAGCTTAGGAAAAGACTGTGAAAAAATTCTTGTAAATCCAGGTGTACTCAGTTAAAGAAATTGGCTTAACTGAAAGCATATTGACTTCTTCAGAAACACTCATATATTCATGAGCATGCTCTGATTTAAAAAATCTGTGTGGACTCTCTTCCAATAAATCATACATATCCAGATGCCTCTGTATGCTGTTATTTATTATAATTTGTACAAATTGGCTTGATAGAAAATCAGACTAACTGAAATGTAGTTCCCCAGATCAGTTTTCGTGTATTTTTCAAGTCTGATGTCCCAGCTGATGCTTCCAATTTGTTGGACACCAAGCCTGCATTGAATGGTAGGGTAAATGTTTGTGAGAAATTCAGTGATGTCCCACTTGGTCTTCATAGAGTTTTTGCATAGATACTATCTAGACCTAGCAATTTGTTATTGTTAAATTTATACATTTGCTTTGCAGTATTTGAGCAACATTTTCTGGGATTTACAGCATGGATTCTTCATTCTCAACATCTCTTGCAAGCATTTTGACTTCCTAGCTGTTGCTAGTTTCATGCTAATTGCCTTTCTCTTTTTTATATTGTTTCCTTTTCTGAACTACCATGATTCCTTATGGCTTTTTCCTTATTTAATTAATATTAAATTGAAGTACATTGTACTCAGTATCAGAATGGATTTACTATAGAATCAAATCCAAAATTGCATCATTTTGGTGAGCCCAAATTGCTCCAGAAAATCAGCGTTTTTGGTATCGAAAGGTACTGTCTGTGCATGAAGTTTAGGGTCTGCTGGTTTGTAAATCCATCTAGGCAGAATTATATATGACAGCTTTAATTCAATGTATTGTTATTTTATTTTAACTAATCAGTTCCATTTCAAATCACTCTGACTTTCAAAT